TTTAACGCTAAATTTAAATTTGATAGTATCACGTGATGCGGTGACAATCACCTCCGGTTACAGTTAGAAAAATTCTAAAAAAAAAATATTATATCATTAAAAAAGAAAATACCTATTTGTATTTTATCTTATTAATTTAATAATTTATTTAATTTAATCCTGAATTAATATTATTATAAATATTAAGTAATATATCCATATTTTTATAAAATGGCGGATTAATAATGTAAACCCAATAATGTCAAACGATTAATTCGATTTTAAATGACCATGATCTTCTCAATTGAAAAATCTAAAATCAATTTTAACCCGATAAAAAAAAAAAAGAAAAAAAACCCCCCCGATTGACTACAATTTTTTAGCATACTAGACACTATGTATCCAGTATTGTTAATAATAATTGATTCTACGGAGAATATTAAAAAATAAAAACACGGTATAAAACCCCGAATTTTTTTTTGTGAAATCATGTGATTTGTTGGTTCGTTTACGTATAGGTTTCAGGTTGCAACTAAAATATACACAAAACATGTGATTATTCTACTACCGACCAATCCTATAAATAAACATCATAAATAATTTATTTATAGAAATTTTTAATACAAAACATCTTTTTTTCTTTTTTTATTCTTATTTCTATTTTCTTTTTTTTAGTCTTTCTTTTTTTTTTTTAAAAAAAAAAAACTTGATAATTTGATCCAATCATTTTGAATCAAATTGTAATAAACCATTCCAATTGTTTTTTAAATAAGTTGATAGCCAGAAATCATAGCAAGCATAGAGAGAAGCAATCATAAGGACAAAAATCGAATCTTGACTTGAATAGAGTGTCAATCGTAAGACCAAATAAATGAGTCTAATGCAATTTTTTTTAAAGAAAAGGAAAATTTTAGTAAGAAATTTTACCCAATGTACAAATAATTAAATAATTATCATCATTAAGAAAAGAGAAGGTGGCCAGCTGATTAACAACTTCAAAAGTTGTTCGAGACTAGCCGAATATATGCAGTATGTTTACTTGGTACCACACCATGCGAGAGTTGCGCCACGAGATAATCTTTGTGTAGCCTGGATCTCGATAATTCGCCTACAGATAGTTGAACTCTTTTTTAGTATCTCGATCATTTTTCGCATACCATTTTTGTAATATTTGAATTTCAAATGGAGATATTTTTGTTTCATCTTATTGGCAATTTTGATGGAGTTGGACCTGGGAAGAAGTATCGGCATGAACGCCTTCAACTTTTAGAGCATGTACCGGTATCACAGGTGCACCAGGTGGAGGGTGTCTCTTTTGTTCATTTATCGGTAATTTCAAAGCTTCTTTAAAATCCTCTTTATGCACATTAGCATCTTTTACGAGGCAATAAGCCCGAGGTAAAGATGATTGTGATGATTGTGATTGTTCTGACTTTGTTTGCTTGGTTAATGGAACAGTCGACCGCATTGTGAGAGATTGTTGGGTGATTAATGGCTGTAATGTAAAGGAAGGTTGTGCAGAAGGAAATAATTGTTGAACTGACATTGGTTGGTGTTGAAAAGAATAAGTTGATTGTTGTTGTTGATAAAACTGAGGAATTGTTTGCTGCTGTTGAAACATGTTTGTGGGTGATGGTTGCGGAATCAAATTGATTGGTTGTTGTACAGTTGATTGTAAAATTGGTATAGTAGGTTGTGGTAATGGTTGTAAAAGTGGAGGTAAGTTCGTAGGTTGAGTTTGACGAGTCTTTTGTTGTTGTAATAATTGTTGAAGTTGCAAATTTTGCAATAATAAATGAAGACGCTGTGACTGAAAAGCTTGTTGACGACGCGACTGCTCCATAATTTCATTAATTCGTCTCGTCCACAAATTTTTTAATTGATCAAGTCCATTTTTTGAACTTTTTATTGAGGAGTCTTTGCTATTCAATAATTCTTTATATTCCTTTTCTGCAAGTTGTTCGAGATGTTGCTTTGTTTTATCTTCGATAGTATTTTTCATATAATCCACGAGTTGGTCCATAGAAGCAATGTAAAATTCCTAACGTTTGTGTTTAAGAAAGGTTATTATAAAAAAAATAAACAAAAAGAGGAGTGTTTGAGACAGTAAACTTACCCGAGAAGTTGCTTTTTGAAAGACACTTTCTTCCACCTGTTTGGCGCGATTTAATACTTCTTGAAAGGGTTGAACAGCATGAGCTAATTCCGCAATTCTGAGAATGTTAGTAAGTCTTTCGTCTGTAGAAACAAGAGAACGCCAATCCATTGAAGACTATTAAATTTTAAATTTTAAATTTTTTGATTGTTTGTTTTAGTTTTCGCGTTTGAAACAAAAAAGATTTCGATTTTTTTTTTTTTTTTTTAATTTTTTATCCCTAAAAATTTTCTTATAAATCCAAAAATTCCGTTTATTTATTAATTTATATAGTTTACAATCATATCTAAAGTAAAAGGTCCTATGATGTAATATGACAATTTGTAGCATTGGCTACCAAATAAGAAAATATTTAGATTGTCCTCGTGTTCAATAAAAAAATTTTTTTTTAACTATTTACAATATAAAAGTAGAGTAAAATTGTTAGATGGAAATGAAAGAGGCTTTATATTTTCTAGTGCCAAATATGATGACTGAAAGAAAGTTCCCGTATTTGTGCCCAGTCCTGCGTTATCTTTTTCGGGATTAATTAAGTGATGGTTCACAACCATATTTGATAGGTACCCAGTATAGTGAGGGGTTCTTTTGAACCCGAGTTTTGTTGATCTTTTTTTCTTTTTATTTTTTTTTTAATAGACGAAAAAAAAAAAATGATCCGGTGATATGGCTTAATATTTATGATGCGATTTATTATTTATTGATATGATTGAATGATAATGAAATAATAACAATGAACTTTATCAAAACATGATAAAGTTCTATAGTACAAATAATTAAATATTTTTTTAAAATCTAATATGAGATGAATGACCCTCGAATATGGTGCACAGACAACTTGGTCAAATTTAAATTTCAAATGCCCGATGTCGAAATGTTTGGTACCTCGATCCCACGACTTTGTAATGCACTGCTTTATCACACAATTCAAAACGGATGACAAATAACCAGCCTTGACCCTACATATATGCGAGCATCATTGAGGCTAGCTAAAACTATCGGAAACTAGACTAATATAATAACTGATCTTTTCTTTAATTTCTGTAGACTACACGTGCAGAAATATCCAGGTCGTTTGTTGACAGATGTTTCTTTACTGTTTAACTTCTCGATCAATAAACGCTTTGGTTCTAAAGATGCACTAGTATAAAAACATAAAAGTTATAGATAAATAAAAAAAACCAGTCTTCATTGATAAGGTAAAGAATTCCTTTGGTCATCGATAAAGATGGTATGACGATGCTAAAAAGTACGGTTGAAAAGCTTCCTTTATGAGGCAAATGAATTCATTTAGATTAAAAACCGATCTTCCTAACTTTGGACAGATTTTCTTTTGAACTACTGTTGATAATATAAAATTTTTCCTCATTTTGGAATTTAACTGAGGAATGTTAAGGAAGAATTGATCCTTTGAATATTCTCTAAAATACAACTAATATTCTTTTTAGAAAATTAGTTGCCTATTTTGACAATTTGTAAAGGGATTTTTTTTTTGTAAGGAAATCCACGTAAGTCATGATTTGCTAGGCCCATTCCCAAATACTTCGATTATGATCGTCAAAAAATTTATTTTTTGTTGATCTAATTTATATGTAGTGAAACAACATCTTTATCCAGTTGGCAAAACATCGATATTCCTTATTCGAAACATTTCAGTGACTCTTAAAACGTCTCAGATTTCATGATCTAGACCTTCATTATTGATACCGGATTGATCTCATTGTTACCAAATTTTGACCATTGTGATTACTCTCTTGATTATCAAATATTTCTTGATTTAGTTTCGTAAAGCATGTGTACTAAATTACCGAACAAAGTTCGTGATCCGATGAATTTGATGGTTACGAAAATTTGGATTGAAGTTCCTTTTTAAAATAATCGTTATAGTAATCATATATTCAATATCACCCACCTTCCGACATTATGACTGTTTGAATAATTACGTAAGATAAACTATAAATAAACCAGCAAACAAACAGGTACATAATGAAACGATTGAAACAAAATTACCGAATAAAGTTTGTATGGGATTTTTATTATTTGTTTTAGGCTTAGAATTTAGACTATGTTCAAAAGAATATTTTATTTAGACAAAATTTTTTTCTTTCAAATAATTCCTATAATAAGAATAATGACTATCATTAAAATAACATCCTTAAAATGCATTTATTGCATGGGTCACATGAAAGTTTATTAAATAATTCACATTTTTTTTATAGATAATATATAAAATTATATATATTAACTTTTTAATATAGCTTTTAATAATTAGTTATTATTATTTATTAAAATAACTTAATAATAAGCTCAAATTGTATTTATTAATTAAAATTATAATAGATAAACATAAATCCTTAAATTTACTAATAAAATATTATATAAAAATAATTAATTTATAAAATGTATTAGTAGACAAATTTTCTTAAAAATTAAAAAGATAATACTAATTTTAATATATATCAGTTTTATTAGTAAATATTTTTAAGTTTATTAACAAGTTTTAAAATAATTCAATTTAAAGTTAATTTAAAAAGTTTATATTTAAAATTTTTATTAAAATTTTTATATATTTTATATATTAATATAATAATTAAATTATTCTATTATTAATAATAATCATAATTAAAATAAAAATTTTCTTTATAGCTAATTTTATAATATAGTATTATAATTAAATTATTATTTCTTAGATTATCTAATAGGCAAATTTACTTACAATTTTAAATTAAAAAGTATTAATTTCTTAATATTAATTTTAATAATATAATAATATAAATTATATAATATAATATATATTTTATTAAAATATATTTAATTTTATTTAAAGATTTATAATTATTTAAAATTCATATTTTTGAATCAATTTATTGTTAATAAAATTATAATAAAATTTAATAAATTATAATAATTATAATAATTATAATAATTAAAGATTTTCTTTATGATAAATTTTATATTATATTATAATTTAATATAGTTAAAAATAAAATTATCAAATAAAATTTATTTAAAATGTTTATAAATTTTTAGCTTATAAGTAATTTTTAAAGAAATATTTTGAATATTTAATAATTTTATATTCTTTTAAATTGATATCAAAATTAATATTATTAAAATATTATTATAAAAGTAAATTATACTTAATTATTATATTTAAATATATAAAATATTAAATTCTTATTAAATATTTTTATTTAAAATATTAAATAATAAATATTGTTACAGTAAATTCTTTATAATGTTTATAAGTAATAAGTAAATGCAATACGTATATCAAATGGTAAATAAAAAGTTAATTTTATAATTAGTTTAAAAGTAGTATCAATGATAGATAATTTATTTAATAATGTAAATAAATAAAAATTATTTCAATTAGTGCTCTATACTATATAAATGTTTTAGAAAAATAAAGCAAATTATATATTTAAATTACTGTTAAGACATTCTATTCTGCTAGCTAAAGTTTCATCTTATATTTATATAAATTAAATATATATAATTATTGAAAAAATAAAAAAAAATAAATATAATAAATATAATTAATAAATTTATGTAATAAAATATTAAAGAAATAAAAATAATAAAAATAATATATGATATAAAAAAAATAAATGTTATAAATAACATAAAAGATATAAAGAACTTTAATAATTTGTGATTGTTATCATTTTTGTAATATTAATCTTTAAAGTCTTCTTTTATATCCCTTAAACTGTAGAGGTTCGCAGGCAAATTTGCTTGCTTATTTACTATAAATTTCTTTCTGATTTACTTTTATGAAAAATTAAAATTTTTAAAAAATTTTTTTTTTAAATT